GAAACTTCTGCCAGAGTTCAGGAAAGCTTCCAAGACAATGAGGAGTATTAACTTCGGTACAGTGGACTGCACTATACACAGTCAGCTGTGCCATACGGTAACATTTGTTTGTTTTTTTTATTTCGACATTTTAAGTTTATTTTATGAAAAAAATACTAGAATTTAAGAAACAAACTTGGGGAATATTTTCACCACACACAACTAGACCAGTTAATTTGAAGTCTGGAAATTGCAATAGTATGGAGACAAATATTCCTCTACTTGTGACACAAGTCACCTAATGTGAACTGATACCTGTTGTTGCTTTATATGAAATGTGACAAAAGCACTTAGGTAAAATAAATCTCATTTTATGTTCCAGTGAATGGAATTGATTTAATTACTCAAATATTTATCTTTTTTTTTTCAGTATAATATCAGGTCCTATCCAACCACAATTTTCTACAACCAAAGCACACCATTCCAGTTCCATGGACATCACAACGCTCATTCCATTAAAGAGTTCTTACAGGTAAATTGGAAATGTCACCTAATCTTAAGAGATAAAGAACTGTGTGTGTGCCTGTGTGCAGTTGAGTGATATTTGTATATATGTGATATGTTATTCATATAATATCCATCTGTATGATAGGACATGCAAAATGATGCCTATATGCTGAGCTAATTTTGCACACATTTTATGGGTCTTCTCTCTCCTCAACACACACACACATGCACGTGCGCACATGCACCACCTCCTCCTCCTCCAGTATCTCTCTATTATTTTACATGCAAACATTTTCATTTGTGCCCAGGACACCATCCAGCCGCCAGTAATTCATCTTACACCTGCCAGTTTTGAAGAGCATGTCAGCAACAAGTCCCCAGATGAAATTTGGTTGGTCGATTTCTTCGCCCCCTGGTGTGGTCCCTGTCAGCAGCTGGCACCGGAGTGGAGACGCCTAGCCAAGGTAGTCTTACTGACTGAAGATTGTCATTTAATTACCCACCGTGTATTTAAAGCTGTGTTACATGCTGCAATTGTTTTGATTTATATGTACGAAAGTGTAAACTAATAAGTCACATTGCCTTCTGTTTGTTTGGAAAAGAAGCTTAAAAAAAAAAAAAAATAGTAAGAAAAGGGTGTTTCGACTGTTTTGACTTTTTTTGTTACACAGTAGATGTGCAGCTCTTATAATGAGGTGCATTATTGCATTTTAGCCTCTATTTCCTAATGGCATAACACAATAACTGACCTTATAAGGCACAAAGAACGATCAAGATTGTTAATAATAAAACAGAATTCAAATAATTCCCCCTCTTTCACAGATGTTGAAGAAAAATGCTAAAGTAAAAGTGGCCCATGTAGACTGCCAGCAGCATAAGACAGTATGCCAACAACAGAATGTCCACTCATACCCCACCATAAGACTTTATCCTATGGGTACAAGGAATGCTGCATCTTTCCAGTGAGTAGTTTGCTCTTTTTCTTCTTATTTTTATTGAATTGTGGTAGTGACTAGTTGCAATACTGCTGAAGTATGAAAAAGACTGCAGTGGCAGTAGTAAGCATATGTGAATAATGAATATCATAGGACTTTTCATGACTTCTGATCTGTTTTTTTTTTTTTACAATTTTAAAAAAATATTTATGTAGATTTGTGTCAACTTTTTCTGGTTCAATCTTAGTATCTATGAAAAAAAGTAATTGAATTCTTTCCCTTGTAAAACTTGTAAGTAACTCTGCATTGATGAAAAACCAATCCTGTTCATTTCAGTATATACAATGGCTGGTTCAGAGATGCAGAAAGTCTAAGAGCATGGGCATTCGAGTTCCTCCCCAGTAAAGTGGCCATCCTCCGCTGGGATGTATTCCAGGAAATTCTGGGCGGGTCTCAGCCCTGGATTGTGGATTTCTATGCTCCATGGTGCGGCCACTGCCAGGTGTTTGCACCTGAGTTTGAGAGGGTTGCAGAGGTGAGAGCAAAGTCAAAGATTAAAATTTGAATATGTTGTTATTTGGTGGTAGTCCTTATGGTAATGAGTATCACCACCTGGCCTTTACGACAAAAAAAAAAAAATCAACAGGAGTATTGGGATTTAACTTCTTTTAGATATTTGTATTTATATGATATGAAAAAGCATTGAGTTAGCACACCAACTGGTTTGTGTTGAGTGATAGAAAGTTAATTAAAAATTACCTGGACTGTGTTGCTAATGTGAAGGCTGGTGTTTTTTACCCCTTACCAAGTTATTTTACCAAAACAGATCGTTAAAATTGTATGAAATGGACCCCTGGTCTATGAAAATGTACTTGATATGCTCTTGCATTTGGAGAGTGCACAACATAACCCTAAGGACAATGTATTATGAAAAGCTGTAGAAGAAAGGCTGTGTCAGAGCAAAAAAAGATGTAATGACCAGCAGTGGTCATAAAAAGCTGTAGAAAGAAGGCTGTGTCAGAGCAAAAAAAGTTGTAATGACCATTATAAAAGCTGTAGAAGGAAGTCTGTGTTAGAGCAAAAAAAAAAAGTTGTAATGACCAGCAGTGACTGGATATATATTTGTTTGTGATTCAAAATTTCAGGCTCTGGAAGGTCGTGTGAGGGCAGGGAAAGTCAACTGTGATGAGCAGCAGTGGTTGTGCCAGCAGGCTGGTATAGGAGCATATCCTACTGTCAGGTTTTATGCTGGGGCACATACTCCAGGATTCATGCAAGTAAGTTGAGTTATAAGTTTTGTTATGGTGTACTCGTGGATGATTTGGTGTTTTAACTATTAGAGTTAATTGATGTCTTTGCCATAATATGAATAGGATGGGCCAGGGGCCTAAAATTCCTGTTGTAAACTTCTTTCTTTTTATTTGTGGTTACCATCAGAGGTCTTCTCTCTTTTTATATAATTTATTTCTCGGTAATTGAAGCGAAATCTTCTTGACAAATTGTAACGAACCCTGTTTTTATATCTCTTATATAAGTGTCCAAGATAAGCAACTGTTACGAAGTAAAAAATTGATTCTTTTTTCAGGACATGTTTGGTGAGGAACTCTTTCAAGATGCCAACCATATCATCAGTCATTTGAAGCAAAGAGTACCAAAGATTGTAAGGATTTTTTTATGCTGCCTTTGAGATATATCTTAGTCCCTGTTTAGACATATTTTATCAAATGAAGTTTTAGGTCTTGGGTAGTTAAATTAATCAACCAATTATATTGGTTGTCACATGCAGACAGATTTTTAAGTTGGAGAGCTACAGTGAGGACAACTTGAATTACTGTTTGATAATTTCTTTGATTGGTTTATTCTGGACTCAAATTTATCCAAATTGAACTGTCTGAATGCACCCTATGTGACATCATTGTCAGGACAATTATGTCTGTATTAAAAATCACATTGTAATGTTTTATTATTACACAAATATTTGTAACTTTTCTTCAAAATCTTGTTGTATATATGAAGATTTTAACAAGTTATATTATAATTGATTACGATTACTATAGCATATTAATCCCTCAGTTTTGTCTATGTACTTTGAAGAACTTATCTTATATTTCAGACTCACAACCAAGAAAATGCTCAAGGTCATGATGAACTGTGACGGCATCTTTTACAGGAGGAGAAAGTGGGAACTCATTACATTCTGCATTTTAAATGTTCATAGAGAGTTGCAATTTTATGAAAAAGAAGTTATCAGTTTTACTATTTATAAGTTTCTTTTTGTGTGTGAATGGTGTAGGTTTTATCCTGAATGTTGGTTTTAGGAAATGATGTGATGAAATGACATGCAATTTTGTGTAAAATGGCCGCTAATTAACTCAATTAATTCAAATATTTATTAGCTATTGAAAGAGTTTATTTTGACTATGCATGAATGAAAACATCCTTGATAAAAATCTGTTCATGTAAAATTTTAATATTAGGTTTATAGTTTATGGACAAATAAGTGTACTAGTTCAGAGCAGGCATTTTTAAACATTTTGGTTAAATTAAAAATTTTGAATTAAAATTCAACATGAGCTTGGATGGGTAAAATGGAATGGGGTAATTTGTGTTCATGTTTTACCAAGTGCATTGAACAAATAGTAGATTGAACCAATTTTTCAAAATATCTTTGCCATTTTAAATGGGATATATGAAAACTTAGTCATGGTGCTTATTTGAACACTTACATCGAACTGCTTGAAAGTCTTCCTGTTATTTGTGAGGAAACATAAATCTAATACCGGACTTGAAAAGCAATAAAGCAAGAGTCCAAGTGTTGCAATTATGATTTTGATTTTCATCGACCAGATGGGCTGGTCAGGTGACGGGTCAGATGGCTAGACATCTGCTGTAAGACTGTAAATTTCTTCTCCATCCTGGATAGAAAAGAGCAGTGACATAGATGTGGTGTTAAGTAGGGCATCACTGAACTGTAGTACAGGATGTAATCTATTCGACATCTGGGACTAGGACCTCGAGCAGATACCTAGTCCTCTGATCAGTCACGAGGAACCTATCAGGTCACTGACACTTATTTCTGTGTTTAAGATTGGTGCTACCAATCACAGTGTTGGATTTGTATTTGTTTTTGAAGTCCAGTATTAGATTTATCTTTTCTTATGCAGCATGACTCTAATCTATTGGATGAATTACAACATTCTGCTTAAGTCTCTTCTGTTAATGAATTTTATATAAGTGAAAACATAGACACATGAACTCTATACATATTGGAAGGGTGCCATATAGAAGAGATTTGAATAAGCAATAATCATCATCTTAACACCTGAGGAGAGTTAAAGGTCCTGCTGCTTTTTTTTTTCAAATTAGTGTTTTATAAATGGTTCTTGTGGATGTAGTTTGCAACATAATATTTTTGATATGCAAGTGATAAGTTTAGATATTAAGAATTTTATTTACTGGTGCTAGAAATAAAGATGCCAAGAACTTTAAAAATTGCCTTGTTTTATATTTGCAGATCACTTATTTACAGACAAAAAAATTGAAATTCATGAAATTGTCCAAAAAAGAAGTAATGCTCTCTGCCAAAACAGTTGGAACTTTATTGGTAAATTGATCTTCAATCAAGGTTTATTTCAACAATAGCAATGATAGGATTTCAGTCTTCACAACTCCACCAAATGCTGAACTAATTGCCATTACTCTGTTCGCATTTGGCTGCTGCCGACCAGCACACTTGTATAAATGTATCTTGATGCCAGGAAAAAAAGTCAACATTTTTTGCATGGAAGTACTAACAAAATAAGCTTTCTGTTTCCACAGTTTTTTTTATTAACATTATTTATCTTAAAGGAAGTTAAGGGAAACCTCATAATTAAGGTTTCCATTCCTCTTCATCTGTCAAGTGCTACATCAATATTACACTCGTCATGGTATATGTTGAAAAAAAAAAGTCTTCTGACTTGCTTTTGTCACTGATCCAGATCCAAAGTTTCTAAATCTTCTTCTAGTAGATCCAAATCTTCCTCTTCAAATAAGTTTTCATCTATTGGCACATCCCCTGCTAAAACGTCTCCATTGACTGTTGCAGATAGTGCTGCAGCTATTGCATGATCAGTCTTTTCCATACTATTAGTTTCGGGTAAAGCAGCAGCTTGAGCTAATTTTGTGGCCTCATCATCTGAAAGGCAGTGAAACGTCATTTTTCAACAAGAAAGCCAATAATCTAAAGTAAAATTCAATCAAATACTATGCCATTTGAACATGCCTTTATTTTTCAAATATCAAAATTCAGTCAAGACTTTCCTCTGAGAACCCAGGAGGCAAATATTTGTTTTACACAAAACTTTTAACTTCCACTTGCATAACACTGGCAGGATTATAACAGAAACAAACTTCATTATAAGAAAAAACATCCCTGTCAAAAAGATCTCTACTAACTCTGCCAAGACAATACTAATACACACTGACACCAAATTAATATCACAAACCTTCAAAATGTAACTTTTCAAACAGTAACTCATAAATCATTCAAGCAAGTTTGTACAATAACGATGTTGTAATCCTACGAGAATCGTTCAACAAACAGACAACCACTAACACTCCAGCTTACCCTGTGATGTGACAGGTGCCCCTGTCCTATCTCTGGACGAAGCTTCCGTTCCTTTACTGCTGGTGTCATACCCCACCCTAGATATCTCCTCCATGTCAATCTCCTTCACAGGACCATCATAGGCCTCTTCCTCTTCTCCACCCTCCTGGAAAATATGGGGCTTGAGAATTACAAACACCACATTTTACCAAGAAAAGATTCATGGTAAGAGTACACCAAATATAACAGACAGATATATACTTTTTTCAAAATAAGGAATCGCAGCTAGGGGTTAAAAGCTTTTTGACACTTTTTATACATTTCATATATACAATACATCTTGCTATTGTTAGACCCAAAGATAGCTATGCTTGAAAAAAATTAAATCAGAAGTTGGAGATTATCAAAGTATAACACACAAAGTATACAATACAAATAAATGTAATATCAATGTTAAAACCATTTTATATTTGCAAGTCCTGGTGTACAGAGTATTTTGCCCATTTACCCACCTCTTCATCATTCCTCTCATACACATCATCTGTAGCTTCATCATCATCCACAATCATGTCTGGGTTGAACTCAAACAGTTCCCTGCCACTGACCTGGAGATCACAGAAATAGAAGAATAATATTTTAGGATTAGCGTTACATTTCTTGTATAATCTGGGCTTAGTTAAAATACATTTAAGGGCTAGGGCTGAGAAATATGCCAAATAAAATATATTTAACATTAAGAGAAATTCTAAATGCCAGCATTAGCCATTATTATTATATATTATTTTTTATTTTATATCAGAACTTGAAATTCATGAGTGCCATGGCTTCCAAGATACTGAATGAATTTCTGCATAGCATACATATTTGAAACTGTAAAAAAACCAGTGGTAGGAATGCAACATATTTAATCCCATTCTAAGTTCTTTAAAGTGGCCTTAAAATATTTCCTTGTAGCATTATTTATGCATCTTTTACTACTGTTAATCGTAAACTTACCCCAAATGCCTTGCCTGCCTTAAACTCTGCCTTTCTCTTCTCTTTGGCAGACATAAACTTTTCTACTTTTTCCTTTTTCTGAAGAAAGCAGATTTAAATACAATTCAGTTGTTCTCAAATATAATTTTTTTTACCAAAGACTGGCACAAATAAGTTCATAATAAAAAGGCAATTAAAAGTTTCAAAACCATGAAGTAACTATAAATCTGCCTTGTAGTAAAAATGCCATATACATTGGTCCACACAATTTTCATCACTTTCAATATCTTGCCTTGAGGAAGAACTCACCTTCCTTTCCTTCCAAGCTAAGAATGTCTCTAATGTGACCTTTGTGACGTTATCCCCCAGGGCTGCTCTCTCCTTCTCTACAAGTTCCTCTATTGTGATTTGATCTTCCTTTTCTTCTTTCTTCCTATCCTTCTTCAATACAAAACCTAGACAAGGAAAACCATTCTCTGGTTGGTATGTATCATTCTTTCAATTAATGATCATTTAGTGTGAAAAATAATTTTTCTAATTCAATTTCAGTTACCTCCCCTTTTTTTCGAGAGACAGAAGCACGACAAAATGATTTTTCAAGCAGTAGTATTTTAGGCTGTTAGAAAATGTAAGTGCCTCAAAGCTTCATGTATTTAACCCAAGGTTCCTCAAGTTCCACCTTTAAAATTATAATTTGGAAAACTTGTGATTTTGGATGAATTCACATAGAATTGGCCCAAAAGAAAACTGAACTAATACTGCACCTGGTGGTAGTGCATGCTTGTAGTGACAGGTAACTCCATTTGGGCACTCCCAAAACCAGCCATACTTGCTGTTCTCAACAGCTTCAAGGAAATATTTGCAAATCTGAAAATACAAAGGCAATTGGGAAAGCTGTAACATATTAAAAAATAAATAAATAAATAAATAAAAATAATAATAATAATAAAAAATTGGTAAAGCATGTTTGTCTTCTGGTCATCAATTTTTGTGAATGAAATTGATGTTTGTTACAGTCTTGGTTTCTCACAACAACAAAAACAATAGGAGACATGCCTTTTCATTCCTTTCCTTTTTCGCCTTGTTATCGTTATAAATATCACATAAAAAAGTGTGCACTGTCACTTTAACACTTACAATCGATGTTGGAGGTAAGCCTTTGTTTTTCTCTCCATGTTTCTTTTCAATGACTTCCTCTAATTTTGCCTCATCCCAAGTTTCCATGTCAGCCTCTGAGGGAAAACAGAAACTTTATTACAATACTTTTATAACATTAAACAAATTTATCATTTATAGCTCATTTAGAGTGATATCAAAACATTTCAGGAATTGGGGATTGGTAAATCTCAACCCTTAGGTGAAATATTAGCCAAGCTGAGGAATCGAACATCTTTGTTGTGACTACAGACATTGACTTAGAAATCCAGTAATAGAATCAAATAATGTAAAACATATATAGGTATTAATCCTTACTTTCATCCTGACCATCGTACATGCTCCTCTTCTCTCCCTTCCTCTCCTTGCTGAGATCATGGGAGAACTTGCACTTGTCTCCTTTCCCACACTGCCCCTGCTTGTAAAAAGCACAGACCACCGACTTTGGATCAGCACCTGGGGAGACAAACGGCAACATCGGTATAGTATCACTACTAGATATTTCAGAAGTGTTTGGATTTTTGTAAATTTGATATTTAAGACCAGCATCAGTGTATTTTGATACAAACACATGGTATACAACAAAACCACCTAATGGGAGAGTGCAAGAACCCAAGTGACTGGAAAACAAGAGGAGTTAAAGTGGACACATGGATTAGGAAGACAAAACTAGAGGATCAGAGAGGCGATACCGCCTCCGGATATTGTACCACCAGCTGGAGTAAGCGCATTCGTATGGACCCCCCCACCCCTCCAAAAAGGGACACCATCACCAGTCTTGTGCTTGACAAGCTCTATAAGATGCAATCAATAAGAGTTCTCAAAATATGCAAAAAAATATAACTAAAAATGGCATAATCAAGCAGATTTTCGAATTGACTTACATCTTCCTACCCTTGATCACTCCTGTATTCTCTAGACAAAAGGCCTATTGGTTTTCCTTGAAAAGTGTTGTCAATGGTGCATATATGCTGACAAAAGAGAAAACCTAGGGGCAACAAGGGGCACATCTCTGCTAGTTTTAAAGATATGAGAGGCAAGAAAATATGCAAAGCTCAGTTCATGGTGAAAAAGTAGGTCAAAGGTCAATTTCAATATCATA